ATTAATATCGTGAAGAGAAAGAACATTGTGTTACTATGGTATTGAGGTGTACGTTTTGTTTAATTAGATGTTTAAGCTTATTTATTTCGGTAATAATGTTTACAAGTGACGGGAGATTATCGTTTCCGCCAAAATTGACCGTATCGTTTCCGCCAAATCTGAATAAGGTCGGTTTTTCGTTTCCGCCAAACCGATAGTTTATACCTGTCTACAAATAAAGGCTTGAGAACCACTGGTTAAAATATTTGCCAAAATAACCCCATAATAATTATCTACTTTTTCCTATTCTATTATTGTTAGTTAGATAGCAGTGTATTGATCGGTATATCGATAAATATTTCGCCATCCGTTCTTTTATATTTTACTTTTTTAATTAAAATGCATTTGAATATATCAGAAGTAAGCGGGGACAACAAATGATTTTATTGAATAATTTTAAGTTTCGTTTTGCACATAAAGCAATACAAACGGGTAACATACGTTGGCGTTGTTTTGTAAAAGAATGCAAAGGTACCATTCACGTGAATGAGCTTGATGAAATTATTGATCAAACAGGTATTTTTAAAATTTTTAGTTAAATTGATTAAAGCTGACCTTATTTTAAATTAGTTTTAATATGTCTTATAGAACATACATGTAATGGCCCTTGTTCTGATTCCATAATTATGAGACAAAAATTAGCAGGCGCCTGTAAACGCAAAGCTATATTTATATATAGACGNCAAAGCTATAGACGATATTTTCCAAAGACCGCAAAAAATAATTTTAATTAATATATTTTTAAAAATTTTAATAGAAAACGTTCAATCTTAAAATTACATTAAAATATATAGTTCTAATAACGTAATCTCAATAAGCGTACGGAATAAAATTGAAATCCGTTTCAATAAAATAAAAGAGGCAATTGATAAGTTAAATAAATTAGCAGACTTGAATTTATGAAATTACTTTCCAACAACTACCGAAAAATGTATAGTTCATAGATTTCTTTTTTATTATATTATTACACATATTAGATATTTTTTAAGCACATAATTAATATTTGAATTTTATTTCAATGTTTTGATGACTATATTTTCTTATAAACTATATTTTTATTATTTTTTACAAAAATATATATACATTCTTAAGACAGTTATCTATTATAATTTATTTACCTTTGGTAAAACGCCATATTTTGTTTATAAAAGTGTACTTATGTGATAAAATAAGTAATTATCCAAAATGATGTGACTCTATTTAGAGAGTGGTTAAGGAGGGGAAATGTCAATTGATAGCGATGGGAAAAAAAATAATGTAAAAAATTACTTTATTTTACACATTAATATTAATACCCCACGCAAAAATCATAAATACAGACCTGGACGTAACATTGAATTCTATAACTAATAAATGCCGAAAATTTTGGTACGGGTAGCTGCCTACCATGGATAAAGCTAAATGGTTCTCAAATTTTTTATTAGATAGACAGGTAGAAGATCAGTTTGGCGGAAACGAAAAAACGACCTTATTCAGATTTGGCGGAAACGATGCTTGGCGGAAACGATACGGTCAATTTTGGCGGAAACGATGAACGCCCCTAGTGACTTCTATCGGTCAAGAACCTTATTCTAAATATCACACACAAATCCCTGTAACCACGGGCATCTCAAAACGACTGACATGTCTTGTTATATTTTGAATGTAATCAATTTACGTTTTCTAATACATTAAATAACCAACGAATCACATAGGTTAACATTATGTTCAATATTGTTTGCAAACAGACTACGAATACAAAAAAGAAAACTACGAGAAAATATTCTCATAACTAAGAAAAAGAGATTTCAGTCGAATAACAAATAAGAGTTTGCAGCGGACTACATCCAATCCGTAGTGGTATACCTCATGTATAATTATGACGTATTAACTAATATAGAACCGTATTGGGCTTTATAACATTGAAACGTCGGTAATGATGATAATAATATTGTGTCTGTCCCGTTACAATGTGTCAGTCGCTTTGTAACCGGTTTCGCGATCATGATGATTATCGTATGATGGCCGAATACCCCGTTCCTACACAACACACACCAAAGCCAAATGATTTCACTTTCCATGTGCCCGCACAGCCCTGAGGCTCCCTAGTAGTCATTGTTTATGTGCGATAACGAACTGTTGGAAGGCGAAAGTTATCCCGTGTTTTTTCTCTACCGTGTCAGCCTTATATTTTAGTTTCGACGTTAATTTAATAAGTTATTTATTTTACATTAAAGTTTTTTTCAATCGCGTCGATAAAAGGTTATACGAAATAATGTCGAGATTTTTTAACGGATTGCGTAAACCGTATTACAATAGACATTATCCAGAATCAAATTAATTAGTCATGTTAATGAATTAATTCGTCTAAATATATTTTCTATTATCTACTTTGACCATTCTAAGCTTAAGTTTTGTGATAACTAATTGGATCGAATAACTGAAGTTATCAGAAATTGTCTTAATACGTCTATCGTCATTATTAATATACATTATTCACTATCGCACCACCGCAAGACAAATGTACTAAGCTCATTCAATTTGCCTACAATTTCTTTTTACTGTTTACAATAATATCTATATTCAGGGATAGGATTATGTCGTAGATAGTACTGTATGTAGTACATCTTGTATTTAGCACAGCAATTTCTCGTATCGTAATGCTAACCAGAGACGCCGTTTAAGATTTTACTGGAATTGGAAAAATGTTTACAATATGACTCACTTTACTCGCGATCTAATAACTCACATCTATTACTCCTCCTACAAAAATTGCCAAAAAAAAACTATTTTTAAAATCATATTAACAATATGCTGTTTCTTTGAAAATGAAAATATTTTTTATTGATTAAAATAAATAAAAGAAAATTCACGAACAGACTTTTAAAGTTATAATGAATTTTTTAAACATTAACTGTATAAGAAATATTAGTAAAAATTCTATTAACTATAGCTGTCGGGATCAAGACGATAAAAAGATACAACTATTAAAATTTTTGATTTAAACATACATACGTAGGTTTCGAAATTACCCGTAAATAATTTAAAGACAACGCTAGAAACTAAAATTTAAACATTATAAATAAAGAAATAAGAGATCTTTTACTTTTATTTTGAGACTTGAACTGTTTGAGTAACAATGTGAAGTATGATGACGAATAACAAAGAGAGAAACCGTAAAATCGAATTTTAATAAGAGACATATTAGCAAACATTATATGTCCTAGTACAGAAGATAAATGGAAAACCACTGTAATTAAAAATGGACCAGGTTGGGGAATTCCAACCTGAGGAATGCCACCCCAATCTTCGAAAATTGTCTAGTGTGAACAAATTTCTAATGGTTTAAACAAAAATATTGTGCTTTATATAATTAAATAAGAAATATTAAGTATGCATTCATCGAGTTTATTTTTACTTAATTTCTTAAGTAAGTGCGGTCTACAAGAATACGAATAGACTCGTCCCAGTTTTCGCTAAAAATTTTATTGAAGTGAATGACCAATTTGCCATTTCCCAAATAACACTCCTGCTATTGACTTAACCCATTTACCTTTTAATAATTAATCATTAAATGTTTGAAACGTTTAAAATATGTAATGCGCAATGACAATTACGTCTTAAAATCAAAAACTATTCATTTTTTCCAGTGTAATATTATATTAGTCTATTGTAAAATGTATACAACTATTTAAGTACAGAAAAGTATAATATTCATAGTAAGCATGATGACTATGTATCAATATCCGCAATGGTGACTCAACACTTTCCGAAACACTTAACACAATCCTTAATATTATTACATTGTTGTATTATTTGTTAGCAATATTATCGGACCGGGTGTTTTTCATAAAGCCAAATATGACTAAGACCTAATCGCGACCAACGTACAATCAAGTGTAATTAGTCAAGAGGTAAAAGTTTATTAACTCTCTGATTGACTATTTCCAGAAATCACTAGAGACGATTTACACGAGAGACTACATCCTGAGTAGATCAACAATGCATGTACGCAAGTAATTTGAACAAGCCGATGTCAATTTATAAAATAGAAAATTAAAAAACAACATTCGTAAAGAATAAGTCAATTTCTGTCATAATTAACTAAAAATTACTCGAACCAAGATTCAAATGTAACTTGTAATATTAATTTACGATATGTTATTAAGCACTCAAAATTCAGAAAAAATTATAAATAATATCTTTATTACTATTACATAGAAATGAAAAAAATCTCATTCAACATATTTAATCTCGTGATAGTACTTACAAACAACGTTCGAAACAACCTTATAATAAGCTAATTAAATTACTGTACAAGTTCTATCGAAAACAAAAAAAACTTTTTTTCTTTAACCTTGACATTTCTTTCATTTTACTTTTCTGTACCGACGCCGCTCAATATGTTATTTATTTTTTCTCAGTCATTATTTTTATCCGTGTTTGATCTGTTCACTTTAAGCATAAACATTTCCTATAATAATATATTTCTCTACGATATTTAATATATATATATATTTAACGAAAAAATTACTTTCTTTTTACTTAAAATGTAATACGTTAAAGTATTATACTTTATTTGCCATTAGAATGTTGCTTTGTTCATTTGGTATGTAAATCTCTTATGACTAATTATATTTTGATATATGCTTTATCACAGTGTCATTCAGTTGTTTATAATAATTTCTCAAACACAAATCAATGATTATAAGTGACTCAATGAAATTGTAATAATTCTGCGCGTTGTAGTTCAACAAGTGTACCAATTGAAACAAATGACATAACTATTTTTTAAAACTATAGCGATAAAACAGTCAAGAACAATAATATGATACAGATAGAACACAATTTGTTTACAGTTCTAATTTCATACAATAGCTCAGCTTATGCGCAAAACAAAATCAAGTAAAATTCATAATTTTGGACATAACCAGATTGTAATACATTGTGTATTATAAGGCGTGTATAATTGATTTACTTACCTATTTGTGATACTTCTGGATCCCACTGCTCCATGGTGGATTTCATCTGTTAACACAAAAAAAATATTTATAATAAAATAGGCGTTTACGTAATTCTAAACTGACATAACGTTAAACGAAAAATATAATTTTCTAATGAAACATAAACTTTCAAAAATCTCAGACATCCTTCAGAATGAGAAGTTTTATTCAATGAAAAAAGCGCTTTATAATTAAATAATACAAAACTAGTCTGTCACAAATACTGCCGTGGGTAATAACTTGAAAAAAAAAACATCTTTTTGATGATAGTACTCTGAAAACAACGTTAGCCAGGGGGTGTGTCCCCCTCGAGTATTATTACCCACATCTGCTCTTGTCGTGTGTGATCCGATGCCGCGCCGACACACTTTCACCTATAACTTAAAGGCATATTATAAGCGGACAAGTATGGCTATGTATTTACTTCTTTCATATTTCACGCGGCCCACCAAATTCAGTATCAAAACTTCAGAACGCAACGGTACTCTAAATATAAATGTATTTTTTACAAATAAAACACATTACATTTGAAATTTAAATAATATTGAGCATTAGACTTTTCATTGTCTAATAAACTCCCAGATAATCGACATAACGGTAAATGGAAAATACATTTTATCGAAATATATTACAAAAATACGAAAGCAATAACGAAAGTTACATTATTAAAAGGTTAGTATGTAAGGTATTAAGTGAGTTCTTTCATTTTTATTTTTTAACTCCACAAATATACTCGAAAATCTTTAAGCAAAATTAATACCATTTACTTTATGACTGGACGAGCAGTAATAAAATAAATTACAATACAATATTTAGCCTAAAGGATACAATTAGGCTAGGTTAGGACCGCAGAGTAATATTATCGAATTTATAATATTGTCTAATAAGATATATTGAAGAAATACTCGAGTCGAAAGCCTAAAAACATTCAACTATAATCAAAATTTACTGTTAATTCATCCGACTCTGTGTTTACAGCGCATCTCCAGTTATAAAATGTAGGACGCATTCTACTACATCAGTTTTAATAATTAATACTTGTAAATATTAAGCATATTTATGTAAATTGTTTTGCTTGCCAGTGTCAAAAGAACCATCACAAATAAACAAACTCAAGAAGATATTAATGAACAGCGAACATTAATAATTTTAATGAGCTTAAGCTATTAATGATACGTTAGAAACTAGTTATGATTTATGAAGCGATTGGAGTAACCTCGAAAATAAGTATAAGACGGAACACCTTTAAAACACATAACACATAAATCAATATTTTTCAGATTAATAGATTATGCCCCGTTATGTAAGATGTTTTGCTTGAAAAATAAAATCCAGTCCGTACTAATACACAACATTTTTTATATTACCTAACTGATTTTAAAAATCTGTTACTATGTTTATTTATTGCATTGTACTTTAATTACATACATTTTATTTTAGCTATTCTAATTAATAAAGCTTGCATATTTTCAGTTATCTAATTAAAGTTATAAAGTAATACCCTAAAAATATTTACAAAAAACACCAAGCTAAAAAAACATTTTAATTTTAGAAGATTAAAATTTGGAATAGAATTTTTAGATAAAAATATTTTTCTAGATAATTTTTTAAAATGTGCCTATTTTTATTAAATTTGAAATACATATTTTGATAGTACAAAAAAAATTTTCCTGGAAATAATTCATTCTGATTAAAACGGTAGCACCAACGACTCAACGGGTTGTAGCATATTGTGGACGTGATATAGTGATTAAAATCGCTATCAAAAAAGAAGCTTCGATGCAAATCTGTAAATAGTGTTTGAATTTAAGAAATTGGTGGATTATTCCAAAAGCAAAAGTTAATTTTACGGAAAAGAGTTGCTATTTTGAATCTTCCCTGTGGGCAAGTAAATAATCAGGTTTTTAAAAATTTTATTATAAAATTAAATTAAAATACTTAAGATGTTTATATATAAAAAATTATTTTAGTACGCTTTTTTACAAAAAGGAATGGCAGCTTTAAGTACCAAAATAATATAACAATAGAAGGTAATTTTTTTCACGAAAATTATATTTTTTGTTCAACTATTGAAGTTATTTACACATGGATAGATATAAGCTACACATAGAAAATAAAATGTAGGGAATTTTTTTTTAATTTAACATGTGTTTAAAAACGCAGTATTTTTGAAACGTTTTAAAAAAACCAAGTTAAAAAAGTTTTACATTTTATACATGTGTTTCAAGTTTTGAACACCCCAGTTTAAAAAAAAAAAGTTTAAAATATGTCAAAATTAACTGATTTAAAAATTGTAATTTTTTGGGGAATTTTTTTCATTTACAGAGAATGAGGCAAATTTTTCACTTTTTAGAGGGTAATACATTCAATTAGACACAGTTTACGATATTTAGACGTGTCAATGAAAGAAATTGCAAACAAAACAAAAACACATCATAGTAAAATTAATACCTTCTTGGCTTCTCGTCAAAGATAAAAAAAAAAAACAATTTATTTGTGATAGTAATGTGCTAAACGCAAACCCATACCAAAAACTAAGAATTCTATAGCACATAATTTCACTAAATAAAAGGATTCAATAACTTATATATGAATAGTTTAAATGAAAACCGATGATTTATTTAACAGAAAATTTTAATTTATATTTAATGCTCCTATTCAAATTTTGAAACAAGAAATATTTATAATCAACAGGCGTTTAACATAGATCGCATAACATGCATAAATGTTTTGCTTTGTAAGAACAATAATAGCTTTCACAATTACCACGATTTAAGATTATGTATATAAAATATATATTTTTCTTCATTAGTTTATTATGACATTATGTATTTTGCAATTTTTTACCTATGTAATTTTGTAAATAAATATTTAAATAAATTTAGAACATTTAATAAATAAAAAATATTATTGTTCTTTTCTAAATTACTATTATTGCTATACAAGAACTTACTTGATCGATAACTTGACTACATTTCTCTATGATTTCAGAAAGTTTACCAAACAAAATGTCATACGCTTTAGATGACAAAATATTCATTTTTCTTAATGGTTCTCCATACAACTCTATTCCTGACTTTAAACATGTCACGTATGCTGATTCCCCGTGAACGAATTTTTCAGTTAAACAATATGTTAGACTATTTTCTAAATATAATTTAATATACATTAGTATCTTTTTGAAAAATAATATAAATTAAAATAATTATGATTATAATAACAGTTAGGTAAATTATCATTTAAACATATAATAATAAGAGAATTTAACAACTGTTAGAATAGATTAAATAAATAATTTTTGGTGAAATTGCTTTGATTAATTAATTATGTAAAATAAATTATAATACAACGTATTAAATATTTTTAAATGAATAATTTTGTTTTACCTATCGAAAAAAATCTATACTCTTTGATATTAGCATTTTATAAAAATGAAAATAAATTATTATATTCTTTTTTTTCTTTACAATTATTCAAATATTAAGTTAATTTGTTATATTTTCTACTTTTTTAAATAAATATGATATGAGAGCATATAAAACTAGAAGTATAATAGTATAAGTACGTGAAATTTTTGTACGATGGTGATGATGATAATAGAGCAATATGTAACAAGGAGATTTGTATAGGCAACATAATAAACATGCATGATATGGAAATCAATATAAGAATAAGAATAATATTTACCGTGTGTAGGATCAGTTCTAAATTTATCTTCTTTTACAATGACAATGTCTTCATCTACATCACCAATGAGTGCATTTGGACTAATTTCAGCAAACGAACCACCTAAATAGTATCCTGGTTGTTCTAAGCTAAATTCAAAGACCATACCAGATAGCAGTTGTTTTAAAGGGAGATCACTGTTTCCTATAAGCTAAAATATAAATACGTACATATTAATATTAGAACATTATTTATCAAAATTTAATTTAAAATTATGTAAATAGAGATGAGAGTATTATTATGTTCAATAATTTATGAGGGTTCGAATATTTTTTTTAATAATATTATATAACACATTTTACTCTTTAACAAAAAAATAAGCCATCATAATAATCAAAATAGTAAAAAAGTTCCATGACAATAGTTATACAATATAAATTTTATGAATTTTTGCTCTTCAAAAACATAAGGTAGTGTTTTTTTTTTTCATATTTATTTAACTTAGATATAAACAATAAATTTTCATAACATTAAAAATAACAGATAGGTTTTTTAAAATAATAAGAACTTGTATGCATTGCAGTTTTCAACAATTTACATCATATAAACTGTCGTTTAACCAAGTTCTAAATCCTAAAAGAACATACGTACATAAACAGATGCATGTATTTATGCGTGGCGTTGTTTTTATTCTATTAGAAATAGCAAAATTTTTTATTAAAATTAATTTTTCTCTCTAATTGTGCCATTAACTACATACATTTATGATATAATTCTATAAATAAATAAATACTTAATTTAAATATATTAATTTAAAAAACAATTGTATTATAAGTGCAAAGAATTAAAAATATTTATAGTGATTTATTAATTATACTCAGTGCTCGAATTGGGGGGGATGCGCAGGGGGACGTAGCTCCTCTACTTTTTTTTAAATTTTTTTGCGCACCCCAACTACTTTTTTTAAATATTAGTATGATAATGAAATATGATTTATTAATAAATACTAAATAAAGTAATGAGTAAAAAAAAAAAAAAAGGTCTTCAAAATACTAGGGACGCAGTTTTCAAATTGTTAAGTTGAGCTCCCCTACTTATTTTTGGCCAATTCGAGCACTGATTATACTTCACCTTGTTATTAACAACAAAATGGCGTGAAAGATACTTTAAAATAATAATAATACTATATATTTGGAACATGAATATAAAAAGATCAATAAATAAAAATAAAATTTTTTATTTTATTTTTTAAATAACCATCAGAAAAATTGATCATGTTGGTAATACTATTTAATTTCATTGGACAGAAGGAGAGTTCTTTTTTAAGGAAAATTTTAAATCGTATTGTTATCATTTATTATTTTTCTTCGAAGGTTATATAAAAATAGAAAATTATTTTTATTTTTTTACATTGGCCTTTTTTAATTTAATCCCTTGGTGTATAATTTTAACTTATTTGTAATACTTTTTTTTAAATAAACTTTAATTAATAATGAGTTTCACGTCTTTTTTTTAATAGCTTAATACCTTACATTTTAATAATTTGACAACAAAGGAGACAGCAAAAACTCTTCACAAATAATTATATGCTTTAGATTAACCGTGTCACCTACTTCCGACATTTTGACAATGATTTTCTAAGAAAATAATAATATCCGTCATAATATTTATGCACAATATAAAATTTAAGACTTTTTAAAAACATTATAAAACTAATTAACTTGAAAACAAGGTCAGTATTACACATATATCAGGGTATAGACTCACAATGCATTAAATACTAAAAAAAACTAAATTGCTTTTTAGGTCTTAAATAAAAAAAATTGTATTAAATACTATATTAAAATACGGATACTAAATGTATATAAAGTATTAACTAAGTCTCGTTTTTTAACTGTGAGGTTTTAAACAAGGAGAAAAAAAAACTTAACGAAATTATAAAATTAATTTAATCAATTTTTATTTGATAGTTTACTATCAATCAATAGTAAACACAAACATACTTTGTACATTTTGAAATGAAAAACATTTCCTCAGAAATAATAATTAAATGTGCAGACTGCAATAGTATGTTGTAATATTCATAAAACTAGTTAAGCAAAAAATCACACAGTGAATATTTTTTTACTGTCCAAAAACTAAAAATTTATAGAAGTGTTGATTAAGGCCTCATTTATAATTTTTTTTAAGATAAAAATACATTTAAAGTTTACAATCAAAAGTAATATCCATTAGAATCCTAATATTTCACTATTATGTAAAATGAATCTTATATCATTTACTATATATTTAATTAGTCGAAAAATAAAAATAATGTTAATAATTTTACTTTTGATTTCTATTGGTTCTTAGGTTTTCTCAATTTATGAATAATTTTTCGATTAAGTAAGTGGTATCATCAATATTAATAAAATTGTGTTATGAAGTTAAAGGTAATAAGTTGAAATAAATACTATAATATAGAATTTTAAATAATACACCATAAATTTAATGTTGTATTAGAACCCAATACAATTTTTCTTTAATTTTAAATGTAACAATTGTAGGAAAATGTCCTACCATAATGAAAAAGATTATTAATAAAAATTTTGTTCCCAAAGAAAAAAAAAGGAAGGAAATAAAAATAGTTATTAATGAAAAAAATAATTAATTAATTTTTGTATCATATAATGTTTAATTTTTTTATACATCCTATTCAATAATTTTTATTAGATACATAAAATAATAAAAAAATAAAGAATCTAATAATATGACTCTAAAAAATTAAGGTATCTTTAAATACCGTGTTATTAGTACACTTATATACTTGCTTAATATTTAAACACAATTTACATATGCAAATCAAAATCAAATCCTACTAAAAACTATGCGCGACGGCTTAAAAAAAAATTTTTCATCTACGCAAATAATTTTCCTAGAATAACTTTGTCGAGCTCTTTCATAAAAAAAAAGTTGAAAATCGTACGTCGATATTTAATTTTTCCAGCATTGGTTAATTTTTCGATATTTTATTAAATAATGAGACTTATGTTTAGAAACCTCTGTGATAGCTATTTCTCATGCCATTAAGGATAAAAAATTCTGCCTATCCCAGCGCAACGCAAAGATACCCAGTACCTACGAACTTAAACATGAGGCGTTTTCGACTTAGCTATGTAGGCCGCTTAGCTAGTTATTAGAGTGATTATTCAACTCGTGTATAAAAATTCAACAACGATTATATCTTTTAAGTGTTTTATGATTTTTAGCAAATTATATTAACTAATAATAATTGAACGAGAGAGTGGGTGAAGGTGTCAACTGACATTTTTGAAACCGTTCAGGAATGCCATTAACTAAATATTAAAAAGCTATTTAACTTTTTAAATATTCAATATATGAAATAACTTATAAGAGAAAAACTATCATCCTAAGAATGTTTTATAATATACTTTAACTTAGTTATGATACTTTCAACAAGTTACTAAAAAATATCAGTTAACACTTTTATCCACTGACGCCTTCAATTGATAATTTTAATTTCATTTAAAATAGAAAAACGGTTTACTTTTATGTACATTTTAAAAAAATAATAATCATTATTAAATGAATAAAAATTTTCCTAATTTCCTAAATAATTTAGATAACATTAATATAAATAACATTAGAATTATTCTAATGTTAGTATTCTGTTATTAATACAACAATTACAAATACATTTAACTTATATATAGACCATGCGCTAAAAGGTTTGACAGACGAAATTATAGGAGGGATCAAGATTGGTGGAGTGCTAGTTCAGGTGCTGCGATTTGCAAATGATATTGCTATGATTGCAGACATCGAATAAAATTTAGAAAAAATGCTTCAAAAAACGAATAATACAAAAATACAATATGAATATTAATAAAACAAAGATATTAGTTAATAGCAGACAACAAGTAGACACCAACATAATCATGGACAGTATTAATAAAATGTAAATAGTTATACATACCTCGGAAGCAGAGTCACAAATGACGGGAAAAGTACCATAGATATAAGGTATAGAATAGCACAAGGTAAACAAGTATTTTTCAAAAATAAAAAGCAAACTTCTAACTACAAACCCAATAAGTATAAATATTAGAAAAACATTGATAAAAACACTTGCATAGATTGTGGTATTATATAAAGCTGAATCGTGAACAATAATGATACTGAATCGAAGAAGAATACAAACTTTTGAATCATGGTGTTGGCAAAGGATCTTAAAATATTCTTGGATTGAAAGAGTGACTGATGAAGAAGTGTATCAGAGGATATATGAAAAAAGATCAATATAGATGACAATCGTAGAGACAAGAGAGAAGTGATGGAACATATAAGAAATAATGCACGGATAACAACTATAACTGAGGGAAAACTCGAAGAGAAGCCAAGAAGAGGAAGACTTAGACAGTCATATATAAAAAAAATTATTTTGGACGTAGGAAAAGAGTAATATAGATAATTGAAAAGAGTTGCATGGAATAGAGAAGAATGGAGGAGTATATTCAATTAATCTACGGATTAAAGAATAAATAAATAAAATATATTACTCCTAAGGTCGTTATAAGTACTCTACTGTGTAAAAATCTAAGTAAAATGCCAATTCTAAATCAATGAGAGCAACATGCTCATCGCATTGCAGCATAGAACCGTTAGAAGTTTGCTAACATATCTATTTATATATACATTAAACCAGTTTTGCAAATAAAAACCGGAAGGTAATTTTTCAGATGAACTCGCATACAGGTTACAAACAGTAATGAGCTAATATACGTTGACGCCTCTTTTCTAAAGAAAGTATATGTATCATTTATGTTGTAAGGGTTAACTGCACCAGCAAAAAGATGGATAGCTATTTTAACCCCAAATGTGGATATAGTCATACACAATTGCACGTAGATTTTCATCAAGAACTAATGGAGTATTGATTATAATTATATTTGGGGGGTTAAAATAACACTAGTTTATTGAAATATTGTGACTAGCGACTTTTTCATTTTCAAAATATAAGTTATAACTTCATATTAATTTAAACTCGTAAAAATTTAAACCAGGAGACTTTATATTTTTATTATAATATTTTATATTTCTCACATTGAAATGTATTAATGTTAAACATAATTTATTCAATTCAAAGATCCGGTGTAGTTGAAGTAAATTCAAAAAGACTTAACTCGACAAGTGACTATGTATCATATTAGT